TTTACCTATTTTTGGTAGATATGATCAACGATATGATGTACAACTTTTAAACTAAAATATTGGGGTCGATTCACGCCAGCAATTTTAGGAATATAAGTCATCTTCTTGAAACATCACGGATTATGCTAATTTGTTTGCCAGATATTATGGTGGGAAAAGTTACAAAAAATGCTTCTGCAGGAAGCTTGAGCTTCCTATATTTCGGTGGCCGATGAAGGTCTTATTCTCATATATATACTTCTTTGAATGGAAGTAATCGGTAATATCTGATCATTCTCCATCAAAAAAATTCAATCCAGTTACTCTAGGGCAAAGTGACACATAAATTGGTGTTCTGTTTACATTCTCTGGACTAAAAATTTGAATTCCAGAATCCTCGTATTAGAATAAACAGTACTATTCTCGTCAACTTCTTCATCTACATTCTCAAAACCCTAATCTGTTTACAGTTTTTCTCTTATATGCTTCTCCATAGAAGAATTTTGCTAATCCAACTTTTTGGACATTATCTTAGCGACTTTTGCCCATTCGTTCACTTCCAAGTTACCTTGATGGAACACGTCATTGATCTTAAACAGTGGGGTAGCACATCCATCAGCAATAGACCAATAATAATTATCTGGTTCAATATTTTGTAATTTTGTAACAGTTTATAGTGGAAATTGTAGAGAATGCTCAACAACTTGTGAAAATTGTCATGTCAAAAGGCTGTAGGTATTTTATACCTAGATTGTAGATTGAATTTGGAGCCGTTACAGCTTGTTCCAGACGCTCAAACACTCCTACCTTTCTAGGTATTTTGTGCGTGACTCTGATTTTAGTTGGTGTCCAAGATTTTTTAGGTTTCTCCCAAAGGAGGCCAACTTCGCTTCCTGTATTAGCCGTACCCCTTCAAGGTATTTCAGCCTTTTGCAGAAGTGAGCAAGGCATTCACAGATTAAATGTCTCTAGTCTCTGTTGTTTGTTTGCAAGATCTGCAGTGGTCGTTTTTTGATTTGCCTATACCTATTGTTTTTAGGTGATATTTCACCAGGCAATGCAGGACTATTCTAATGTCTTTTTTGTTTATGCCAAGAAGCTGTTCAGATCCCTTTGCTGAGATGGATAAACCTTTCTGCCTGTCTCAGACCGAGAATAATGGATCTCTGATGAGCTAGCATTCCTTTTCCCATCTGTTTTTTCTTCGGAGAAGTGGCTTTTTATTAGTCCACAAAAAAGCTCTGGGCCTTGAAAAGGTGTTACCTTCTCGTTGCCCTCTATGCCCTGGTGTCCTGGCACCCACATCAGGGTAAAATGGTTTCTCCCAACCAGTTGCTTAAGGATACTTCTACCCTCCCAAACTAGCTGCCAATTGCATTAGATGGCTCCATGATCCTTTAGAGCCGTTTGGCTGTCGGACATTATTCAAATGGGCTCTCTCAAAAGGCCTCTTTCAAGGGTGCACAGATGTTCATGGCCAGTACTTCAGCTTGAAATATTGTGGGCGTTTTACCCATTGCTAAGGAGAGTTTAAAGTTTGGTACAGTTATTCCCAGATTGACTCTTTCGGTTAGCTTCGAACCATCTATGTACCACACTGATGATGGTATTGACATTTCTTTTTGAGCTGGCGACTTCACGCCTTTACTCGATTATTGATAGGTAAGACTAATTTGATGTGTGAAGCTTTGGATATGTTTTCTTTGAGTGGTTTGTAACTGGGTTTTTGGGAGGGGTCCAGTAAATTTGGGATAGGAGTGGATAAAGGATTGGGGAGAGGAAGGGAGTTTCAGAAATTTTTGCTATTAAAAGTTTGGGGAGTGTGTAGATCTTTATATCTTGTAATGTTTGGGGCATATGGAGTGCCGAAAGTGTTATTTAGGGTTGGGCTAGTGTGGGATTCAATTATCTCTAAAAATTTTGTGTGCCTCATGACCAAGTATTGAGCTATTTTGTCCATGCCGAGATCATTATGTATATCGTCATTTCTTACGAACCACGGTGCTCTTATTATTCTTCTTAGAATTTTATTTTGAAGTGTTTGCAGAATTTTAATGTAGGATTTGGGAGAGTTGGTGAAAGCCCAGGAACCGTATAATATTTTGGGTCGAATGACCTGTTTATATAGGAGTAATTTGTTTTTTCTTGTTATTTGACTTTTAGGGCCCAACATTGAATAAAGGGATCCGTATGCATTGTTTCCTTCTAAAACTTTATTTTGCAGGTGTTCCTTAAAGTTGAGTTTTTTATCTATAGTGATGCCTAGATACTCTATGCTTTCTTTCCATTGAATTGTGATATTGATTTTTATTCTTGGGACTTGGTTTTGTCTTCTAATGCCTGTGATAACTATTGCTTGGGTTTTTTCCTCACTAATTTTAATCTTCTATTTGTTTGCCCAAACAGAAAAGTTGTTAGCTGCTCTGTGAAGACTTATGTGTATGGCTATTGGATTTTTGAATGTAGTGTAGATTAAAGTGTCACCAGCATATTGTGTGCTATTCTGGAGTTAATCGTTTTAGGTGTGTCACTCATATGATTGTCGCTTTCGCCTTCGGCTCGTGCGTCAAAATTCACATTCGTGAAAAACGGTTCACTTTACACACTTGTTGCATAAATAACTATTCAGAAGACGTAAAATTTCGGTTCACGCACTAGTGCTTAAAGTAATTCACTTCATACACTAGTGCGTAAGGTAATGTCAATGACAGATGTCAAAACTGTCGTCAATTTAGTATTTTTCTGGTAAATAACTTCACGCACTGCAAATACTTTGAGCACTAGTGCGTAAAGTATTTGTCTAAATTTATTTTTTTACACATATTATGTTATTGGTTGAAGAAAAAATATTGTATGCGATACGTGTGTAAAGCACCTTTTTTCAGTCATGTGATCGTCGTCAAAATTCACATTCGTGAAAAAAGGTTCACTTTACACACTTGGTACATAAACAGCTATTTTCGTCTGTCATCAAAAATTCTGAAGAAAATAGTGTTTCAGGTAGCGGAAGAGAAACCTGTTAACCTGTAACAATTATCTGATGCACGCTTGCAGAATGAAATAGGACAACCGCTAGGTGTCGCTACAACCGGTCCTGCCACTGTGTTTGGAAAAGTTTTTTGTTAAAAATAGGTTGAATTGTTCGGCTGAAATTTTGCGAAACATGACGCGAAAGACTAGCGCATTTAATATTTATTGTTTGCCCAAGGGCCCTTGACCAGCATAAGCCTCAACACCTCAACGTGCATTTTTCTGCTGTGGCTGTAGCCCCTTTAGCGCCCCCCTTTAGCGCCCCCCTTTAGCGCCCCCCTTTAGCGCCCCCCTTAATCCAGGCATGTTGGTGAGGTCAGCTTCAGGAGGGAACGTGATTTGTTTCAGGTCTTCTTTGTATTTTGTTAGGGCGATATCAAGAATATCTGCGGTGCAGAAATGTGTTGGTCCTTCTGGTGCATGTATTGTTATTAGATGTTCTAGTGCATATTTGAGTAAGATTGAGCCGCTGGCGTTGGAACGTCTGCAACCCCAGTTACTGTTTTTTGCGTTTAGATCGCCTGCAATTAATGTTGGGATGTTTGAGTTAGTTTGGGTTAGTATGTTTACTATGTTAGAAATTTATTGGGAGGTATGTGTACTGAAACTAATCTCAGTTTATTGGTATTCGCCAAATTCATGGTTATGCCTATGTTTTCAGTGTCTTCTGTGTTTACCGGGGCCGTGGTGTCATGGCTTATGTTATTTTTTATAGCAATGTCGATGCCTCCTCCTGGTCTGTTTGGCCTGTCAGCTCTATGTATGTTGTAATTTGGTAAATTGAAATTTATATGTGGACGGGGGCATGTTTCCTGTAATAGGATAACATCTATGTTATTGTCTTGGAGGAAGTTAATTTTCTTTGGGAAGACGGAATTTGCATTCCAGGAAGCAATTGTAATGTTTGATGGCTGGAGTTGTACATCCATTAGCAGAGTGATTTTAGTAATGGGTTATTTGCAATTTGTGCTGCTATAAAATTGAGTTTTTCTGTTATGTCCTTGTTTGACATAGTTAGCAAAGATATAAGGCTTGAATTTGTTTATGGTGGGCTGATAGTTAGTTGCTTAATGGCGTTTTTGGCTGTCTGAGCGTAGGAGATTCCGGGAGTTTTTAGGTTAAGATTTTGTTGATTCTTTGTTTTATTCACAAAATTGATATAGTTAGGATTTTTTGGGCAATTAGAGTGATTGGTGCGGTGTAGGTGTGGGCCTCCACAGTTTATACATTTCAAAGTTGTTTTTTGTTTGTCATTGTTATTGGTTTTTTGTATGTGACAATTTGTGTAATGATGATTGCCAGGGCATTTATGGCATTTCGATTTTGATGCACAGTTGGTGGAAGCGTGGCCAAAAACTTGGCAGTTTGTACATTGGATGATGTGTTTCCTTTCTGGGTTTGTCTCCTGAGATTCGAGTCTTACTGGCATGTAGCAAATGTATGCGATAGTGTCGTAAATGCGAGATTGATCTATTTTTATGCCTGTGTGAAGTCCTTTGATCATGACGTTCAGCAGTCTATCCTCGTCTAATATGTAAGTGTGATATCCTATGTTATTTGTTTTTAGGTATCTAGTTATATCTCTATGGTCCTGTGATGTTTCTGGTACAATTTGGATTCCGTTCCTGTTTACTTTTGGGTCTTTAAACTTGAATGACTCCTTAATAAGATTATCACGAATTTGCTCCCATTTTCCCGCATTACGAATAATTATTGGTGGGATTTTTCTGACATTTCTAGTAACTTCATTGGTGGTTGTTTCATATTCTTCGTTATCTTTTTGTTCGAGATAATTTTGCAGTCTTCGGTTTGTGGTTTTGGGATGCAATGGTTTGGTCTCAAACTTAATTCTGGTTGGGCTGTTTCTAATGGATTTCTATTTGAACTTTCTAGAGCAGGAAAGTCTATAACTTCCATGTCTTCTTCTTGAGTGGATTGTTTTCGTATTGTGTCTGATTTTGGTTTCTTTTTGGATTGTTGTGAGAAATTGTTCACTTTTGTGGTGATTCATTGTAATCGTTATTGTGGTTAGCAGTTGAGGGAACTTGAGAGCTTAGTCGGGTTTGTAGGCTAATTAATTCATTGATTTTCTTCATTATTTGTTGAATTGTGGCATTTAACTTCTTATTTTCCTCTAAAAGGTTTTTATTGAGGTCAGAAATGGTGTCAATTTGTTCTTTGAGTGATTCGTTTTCGTGTCTGAGGGCTTTAATAGCTTCTCCATAAGCTGGCTCTTTGCCAGTACTTGAAATTTTAGAGATAGTGTTTGGTGTTTGGGATTTAAGATAGGAAATAGTTTTAGGCTCACCTTTTAGTGGTTCTTGATCCATTTTGTCACTTTTTTTAACTTTCATTTGTAGCACTTAATTTGAGGGGCTTCCTCTTCGCTCGTGGTGGTTCCGAGAACGACGGCGATGCTTTGTGAAGATTTCTGACGAAATTTCCATCTATCTTCTTGGTTGGCATGGATTTGAGGGGTTTCCTCTTCGCTTTTTCTGAATTTTCTTCAAAAAATTGGAAAGACTTTCACTACAAGTCCGAAGGCAGTGGCGAGGCGTATTGAATGAATACCAAAATGATGCGTTGAAAGCTTGCGTTAGCTTTGCGTTCTTCCATGATTGTCGTTCTTTTACAACTACTTTATATGGAATGTCAAAGTCCACTGATGTTATCATATATTCTGTTTTTTTTTGCTTACTTTGGCACTCGAGCTTTATAGATCGAAGGATGCATAAGAGGCCATTCGGATCACCAGGTTTAAATCTTTTTGTCTGGAATAGCCTATAGGCATCTATTCTTGCCTCTTTTTTCACATATAGGTAAAGAGGAGGCATGTTCAGCAGTGTCTCTTAGGCTGCGGTGGAGCAGGTTGACATAGCCCCTATTATTCCTAGACAGAATATAATATTATTGTATTTTCAAAGTTTATTTTTCTGGAAATAATCCGAAGCTAAATTTAAGCCAAATGGCAGCCTACAGAACTTATAACAACCAAATGGAGTTCAAAGTGATGTGAGCTTGCTCGATTCTTCACTAAGTTTAACTTGGTAAAACCCGTCTTTGAAGTCTAGAACAGAAAAATATTGCTTGCCTGCCAGTTTACTACTAATTTCCTCCAAACTAGGTATTTCAAAAAACTCTCGTTCAATACAATTTATTTAGTCTTTGTACTTCACGTAGACAGTGTTTGACACGTCATTAAGGTATCTACCTTATAACACTATCCCCTTCAGGGATAAACATTCCAAAATATAAATGTTTATACCAAGAAGCTAAACTGAAATAAAATAAATACACTAAAACACAGTAGATATCTAACTAAAGTTAAAACCTTAGGTTAAAACATGACTATAAGAAGAAATAAATAATAGTCTGGTTTTAACACAAAACTCTATTAAAGAAAATATTTAGGTTTAATAAAGAACAATAACTCGAAAAATAAATGGTAGCGTCCGTTCGTGATAAAGAATAATCTTCGATTACTTTGCAAAACATTTTTGGACGTTTTGTACTGTTTCGGACCCTGATCCATCCCTTTCGATGACGCACCACTACCTGCCCAAACAATAGCCTGGCATGGGACGCTTATCAGTTAATTTTTCTGTGAATATCTAACGGTTGACGTAATTTTGAGGGCATCTGGATTTGCGTTCTTACAGTCGGCCGTTGCTACCATATTTTCCGTCCTCGGAAATAACTTATACCTGTTGACAAAACGTATAATTACTAAATGCTTCACACAATGTTTCAACAAAATGCATAACAGACACTATAGCTGTTTCGTTACATATTGCTGAACCCAAAAAAAAATAATTTAGAAGTAGCCCAGCCATTCAATCTCTACGTCAGAGTTCGAATGATGTGCCCAGACTTCTCTGTTAAACAAACGTTCATTCATTCCTTAAATTCTTCGTCAGAATTTTAGGATTGAACCGTCATCACTCTCAAAGTTTTTACTTTGAAGTGAAACGTCTTCTTGTCTGCAGCATAAATTTTCGTTAAGCACTCTCTCTCACGTGTTCTACGTCAGAACCAGAGTTGGAGTCGTCGCTGCTGCAGTCGTGTGCAGCAGTATAAGGCTTCAATTTATCTGCAGGACAAATACCCTGATACTTTTTCCGTGCTCGACGTGTGCCCGGTAAATCGTTTATCAGGTACCTATCGTGGTCGAGTATTTTGGTCACAACGTAAGGACCGCTGTACTTGGGAAGCAATTTCTTACTTTTTCCATCGTTGGCATTAGCGCTCCTTCGTAGGAGTACCTGCATCCCTACGTCGTACACAATAGGCTCTTTACGTTTGGCGTCGTAATATGCTTTCTGTTTCACCTGTGCAGCCGTTATTCGTCGTGCAGCTTCTTCTCTAACCGTACTCATATCGTTGTCAACATTTTCGTTCTGTTGAACTTCATGAGCCAGGAATGCGTCGTGGATTCCCTTAGGTTTATACCCGAAAAGAAGCTCGTGTGGGCTTTTACCCGTAACGCTCTGCACTGCAGAATTGATTCCAAAACGTATGGAACCAATGACGTCATCCCACTTCCTCTCGTCGTCAGCCGTCGCCGACAGGGAAGCCAGGATCGTGCGGTTGTATCGTTCAACCTGCCCGTTGGCCCTTGGTGTGGCTGTTGCGTTTAATACCACCCGTATTCCAAGTCGTTTTGCGAAGTCTTGGAAAATCTTACTCGTATAACAAGTTCCTCTATCACAGATTATTCGGAAAGGTACTCCAAATACGGTGAAAATTTCTTCACAAAATTTAACCAGAGGAGCTGTCTTAGTTGATGATACTGCCTTGGCCCATAAGTATTTTGTAAATCCATCAACAGCAATTATAAGGTAGCTATTTCTTTTACTGCTTTTCACAAAAGGACCCAGGTGGTCAATATGAATGGTGTGCATAGGTTGCGGAACTTTGACAATTGGTTGTAGTAAACCTTCTTGTTTTCCAGTGGGTACTTTATTTTACGAGCACCCCAAGCAACAAGTTATATACCGTTGTATATACTTTCGCATCCTTGGAAACCAATAATAATCACCCAAGGCTTTCAGAGTCTTGTCTGTTGCCAGATGTCCTCGCTTATCGTGGTAATAGAGAACCAAAATACGGCGAGCTCTTTTGGGAACGTAGCATCGTAAACCTTGATCGGTAACTCTATAAAGCCGCTCGTTTTTGACGGTATAATCTTTATGAATACACTTTTCGTTGACATCAATTGGTTTTTTGGATAAAATTTCGAGCATAGATCTGCATCGTGAATCTTGTAATTGAGCCGATAAAATCCAATCATTTTCTGAAACATTCACTTCTAGTATATTCACAATTTCAGGTGTTTCAGCGTTGTCTTCAATTGGGTTCCGGCTGAGAGCATCTACATGATTCATTTTTCATGTCTATCAACTTAGCGAGAAAACTTCGGAAAATCGATTTTCCGTTATGCCAAGAATTTGCCGCTTTTTTGCCGCTAATTAAATGTGGAATTAAAAAATTTGCCGCTCTTTTGGTTTTTTCCTAATTACGTGTTTTGCTAACTTGACGTCAAGATAGCGAGACAACATCATTAAATATGTCAGCAGTAAAAAATTAGGTAGATGAAAATTTGCCGTTTTTTTGCCGCTAATTAGTTGTGTAAACCAAAAATTTGCCGGTTCTTTTTTTTCCATATTTAATCAAGTTTGAAAAAAAAAAAAAAATCATTTGTTTCGCTAACTTGACGTCAAGTTAGCGAGACATTATCACTAAAAATGTCGGTAGTGAAAAATTGAATGAATGGAAATTTGCCGTTTTTTTTGCCGCTAATTAGTTGTGAAAACCAAAAATTTGTCGCTTCTTTTTTTTACAAAAAATCAAGCTTGAAAAAAAAATCATGTGTTTCGCTAACTTGACGTCAAGTTAGCGAGACAATATCACTAAAAATGTCGGTAGTGATAAGTAGAGTGAATGGAAATTTGCTGTTTTTCTGCCGCTAATTAGATGTGGAAACTAAAAATTTGCCGCTACCTTTCTTTTCATAAGAAAATCGTGTTCGAAAATAAAATAATGTTTTGCTAATTTAACGTAAAGTTAGCGAGATCACTAAAAATGTCGGTAGTGATAAATTGAGTGAGTGCAAAATATCGCGTTTGAAAAAAAATATCATTGTTCAATTGACATCAAGTGAGCAAAACAGTATAATTAAAAATGTCGGTAGAGAAAAATTGAGTGGTAGAGAAAAGCTGTGGAAATTTGCCGCTTTTTGCCGCTAATTAAATGTGAAAACCCAAAAATTTGCCGCTCTGTTTCTCCATGAAAAAATCGTGTTTGAGAAAAACTTGTGTTTCGCAAGCTTGCCGTTAAGTTAGACCGACATCAACACAAAAAACGAAGGGCAGTATAAAATTAGGTGAGTAAAAGTAAATGATCTCCCACCCTTGATTTTTATGCAGCCTGTAAGTATATTTTAATTAGTGAAACTCAACATTTGTTGGAGCAAATATTTATTTCTAAATTTTTTGAGAATAGTTTTACATTTTTTTTTCTTTAGCTTAGGAAAACTCTATTGAGGCCTTATAGGTTTCAAAAATCAGAAAGCGAAATATCGTGTGCTCATTTATACAGAAAATAAAATAAAATTAGAAATAAAATCAAATTGGGATAAAATGGAAATTATCGATAATTTTTGGCAAATTTTCCTCAATGCATTTTTAGTTGAAAAAAAGCACGAGGGACGAGTGCCTTTTCCAGTTAAAAATGCACGAGAGCAAATTTCTCAAAAATTTCCATTGCTTAAGTTGTATTTTATGAGAGAATTTCATGAATCAAAAATTTAAATTTTTAGTATATCCTCGTAAGTATAAAATGTCAGCAATCAGAAAAAATGTCAAATGCCACCCGTTAGTAAGCAATTATCCAATCCGATAATCCTGCACTAGTACAAATTATCACGTAATCGTAATCTGATTTGTTGACATCAACAATTAAAAAATGCCAGTTTATGCATGGGATCTGTGTCATTTGCGCGACAACCGTTTGCGCGAGGGAGAAAAGCGCGATACGAAAAGCGCGAGGGACAAAATCACGACGGAACAAAAACGCGACAGGACAAGTGCGCGATTGACAAAAACGCGACTGGATAGAAGCGCGAGAAACAAAAGCGCGAGGAACAAAAGCGCACGGCTGCGCAAAAACGCCACTGGATAAAAGCGCTAGAAGCAAAAGCGCGAGGGGACAAAAGCGCGACAGAACAAAATCGCGACTGGATAAAGCCCGATTGGCCAAGAACGCGAAGTGCCTTACTACGAGAACTGGAGATCGTTTTCCAAAATACAAGATATTTTTGGTGGCTCCGGTT